AAACTTCAGGAGATGGGTGAACGACAGAGAAGCGTGGCGTGCTGCGGTCCATGGGGTTGCAAAGTGTCGGACATGACTGAGCGACTAAACAACAGCAGTAGTCACACCTTTGTGCATTTACTGCATCTTCCTAAAACACGAGGCTTGCTGCAAGGGCTAATGCACTCACTAGCTTGGATGGGGAACTGGCTGCTTTACATGGCACCGTAGCCACTTTCTTTGCTGGGCGGAGCAGTGAGAGAGAGACGTCTGGCCCGGTGAAAATGGAGGCCCCTGAGTAACTCTTGGAAGGACATGATGTGTTACCAGTCCGCAGCTGTCCGGGGAGGCCCACGGTCAGCCCAGGCTGGAGGCTGCAGTGTAGGCCCCGCTCTGCCAGCAATAATGAAGTGTTTTGCTTTTGAAAGGGACCCGTGGAGAACCCTCTCCAGGGATGGAAGGGGAGAGAGGCTGCTTTTATTGTAAAGTTGAGCTGGCAAAGGGGCACGTGGGAGGGGGCCCCCTGGACTAGTGGTGAGCTGCAGGCGTGGAGGGGGAGAGGGGTGAGCTCCAGAGCAGTCGTGGCAAAAACCGAGGCCTCACACCGCCGCCCCGCCAGCCTCAAGACACGGCTCCAGGAAAAAGACCGAAACCCCTTACGTGGCTGCTGCGTTCGTTCGACAGGTTGGAATCTTCATGGTGTGTGTGCATGCAGAGTCGCTCAGTCATGTCTGACTTTGCGACCACATGGACTGTATTCTGCCAGGCTCCTCTGTCCATGGGATTCTCCAGGCAGGGATACTGGAGTGGGTTGCCATGCCCTCCTCCAGAGGATCTTCCCGACCGAGGGATCAAACCCATGTCTCTTATGTCTCCTGCATTGGCAGGCGCATTCTTTACCACTAGCTCTACCTGGGAATCCCAGTCTTCATGGTAAAGTCTCCTTTTAATATTAAAAATATATAGGCCTGTAATACATTTCTTGGACAGGGAGGCCTGGCGTGCTGCCGTTCATGGGGTTGCAAAGAGTCGGACACGACTGACTGACTGAACTGAATTGAACTGAATATCTTTCTGTTCCTTTTCAAGTCACCACTAGAGCTATGCGGGGACGCCCTATGTCTCCCAGGCACAATAGCAAATAAATCCTAGGAGCAGAGTGATTCAGTTATTTAACACGTGATTGAAAATTTGGCTTTAAGAGTCAAGCTTTCAGGGATTTGCGAAAATGTCTTACTGAGTAGTGTCAGTTCTCAGACTGGCATTTAGGAAACGCCATTTCCTATTTTTTGATAGGTATTTGTAAAGATGCCTCGGGTGAGTTATAAACTTATTCAAACCATGATTTTGGGAAACTCTTGTGATTGCTGTCAAGTGTTATTTCAATAAAATATTTGTATATATATATGTATGATGTATATAATAATATATTATTATCTATATTACATTATGCAACGTAATACAGATAATTATATATTGGTGTAATACATATATAATTATATATTATAATATATAGTGTAATATATATAACTTAAATTTCATGTTTATATATATAATTTTATATATATATATATATATATATATATATAAATTGAATTAACAGTCATTACTTCACCACATCTGGCAGACTTTCTGTGCCCAGAATGATTTTTGGCTGCATATCATAAAATAAAATCCATCATAAAAGATTATGCCACTCATAATATTCTAAAAGTCTTCTATATGAGGACACTATAAAAGAGGAGAGAATCCAAAAATGACTGAGGGAGGGGAAGTGTGTTTAGCTAAGTGAACTGTTAAAGAGGACTGCTCCCAAGGATGTTGGTGAATTTGGTGACAGTTCGCTGTGTTTGCCAAAAACACGCTGGCTTGGAGGCACACCCTGTAAGTGCTTTAATATCTTGGATCTTCCCCATGCAGTCCTGGGGGCCTCAGTCTCTGCATTTAAAGGCAGAAGTGCTGTTGGCCATTTTCCTAGATTGCAATCTTCCCCATCCCGTTCTTGGGTGCCAACCCAGCTCTCTCTCTAAGGAGCACCCATCTGGCTCCAGGCTATCCTGTGTCGTCACCAGGCAGGAAGACCCTTCAACGAGCGCGTGAAGGAAACACGCAAACATTTGCTAGCTTGGAGAAGTATCTATTGAAATAATTTTCACGTCAGTTAACTTTGAAACGTTCTAACTGTGCGGTGTAGAGGTTCCCTGGCTCAGCATTACAAACATAAAAATTACAGTCTGTTTCATATGGTGCCTTTCAGTCAGCTGTTTAGAACTGCGTTTGGCTTCATGAAATTTGGACTTTTTATGATCGTCGTTGAAGTAGGAAATTTCAAGGGATTCGTTTTACGATATGTATTTCACTTCTTACAGCTCGGCTGCTGAGCCTGTAATGTCCACTTAATGTTTAACTCTCTGAATTAAGTTCAAATATTTTCAAAACCCTCTTTGTGTTCTAATTGTTGTTGGCTTCCACCGCGTATACCAAAGCCAAGTAGAATAGAAAAAGGAGTCTCAAAGAAAATTCAGAAAATACTCGATTAGCCAAATGGTTTCTCCTTCGTTTAGCTGAGAAATACTCTTATGTTTTGCCAAAAGTTGAGACAAAATTCCATTGTCCTTTAATACATCTCTTTTTGGTCACTTGATTAAATGTTATATGTTCTTCCTATGCATTAGTAGAGAGGGAAGTGTTTACATGAGAAAACCAGGGATCCATGCCCCAGTTTCCACATTTTCAGAGCGCTGTAGCAACAAATTCTGGAGAAAGGGCACGGCAACCCACTCCAGGATTCTTGCCTGGGAAGTCCTCTGGACAAGGGACCCTGGCAGGCTACAGTCCACGAGGTTGCAAAGAGTCGGGCGTGACTTAGCAACTAAATCACCACCGCCACCAGCACCACAGCAACAGATTCTGGAGTTATACAAGGAGGAAAATCATAGATTCCCCCGGCTCATGAAGCCATGGTCCTCATTTTCATGGACTTCAGTGGGAGAGTGGGCAGAAGAGGGAAAGAGAATAGCACGTAGATGTGATTTTTAATTTCTGGAAATCTGTATCTCATCGGAGTAGAGATTACAGAATGTTGTATTTGGAAGGAATTTAATTTTTCCAATCCAGCTGTCTATGCAAATCATAGATCCTCTCATCAAAAAAACCTGCGAGAGGCCTTCATTAAAGATTAAGGAACTCATTGCCTTCTCAGAGTCACTTCTAGCTTTGCACAGATGGAAAGTTCCTACTTGTTCTGAAACGACAGATCTCTCTGAAGCGTCTCTGCCTGATTTCTCAGGAAGTCTTCACCAGCAACACCGAACAGCTTTTAATGAAGCACCTTGTGTGATTCTGGGTCTTCCCTTGTGGCTGAGACAGTAAAGAATCTGCCTGCAATGCAGGAGACTCACGTTCAATCCCTGGGTTGGGGAGATCCCCTGGAAGAGGGCATGGCTACCCACTGCAGTATTCTTGCCTGGAGAATCTCATGGACAGAGGAGCCTGGCGGGATATATAGTCCATGGGGTGGCAAAGAGTTGGACATGGCTGGGCAACTAACACAACTGTACAACGCTGTGATTGGAGGCCTCCAATCGTGTGTCTCTCCACTCCAGGTCTGGGCTGGAGTTTCTAGCTCTCTTTTCCAATGGAGGACTTTCTGTATTCCAGCTGTGAAGGTCACCCTTTCGAACATCTGTCCACATTCTTCATAACCGTGTTGCATGCGTCAGATGGCTCAGAACCGAGAACAGCGCCCTCGGGGTAGTCTAAACGTGGGGAATGGAGCTATTCCTTATTTATTGTCCTCGTGTTCATGGATTCGTTAATGAAGTCAGAATTGCACTAGCGTTTGATATATTTGCACTGTTGATTTATACTGAACTCATAGTGAAGTAACTTTTTAAAATAATTTTTATATACGACTCTCACACATGTAATATTTATGGATTTGTTTTTCTTTTTTAATCATAAATTTGAGGCTTTATATATTTCATCGTTATGTTAAAGTAATATCCGTGAGTAAAATAATGTTTAGGAAAATCGAGTCAAAAATACATACAAAGGTGAAGATTGACGGAAGAGTTTTTTTTATCTTTGTTGTTATTTTTTAAACTAACTAATTTTGATTGGAGAATAATTACAGTATTGTGATTTTTTTTTTTTTTGGCCATACAGCAGTGTAAATCGGCCATAGGTATATTTGTGTCACCCCCATCCTTTTTTATTGTTACTTTTAAAATTAATTAATTTATTTTAATTGGAAGATTATTACTTTACAGTATTGTGATGGTTTTTGCCATACATCAATATGAATATTCATTGGCAAGACTGATACTGAAGCTGAAGCTCCAATCCTTTGGCCACCTGATGCCAAGAACTGACTCATCAGAAAAGACCCTGATGCTGGGAAAGGCGGGAGAAGAGGGCGACAGAAGATGAGATGGTCAGACGGCATCTCCGACTCGAGGGACATGAGTTTGAGCAAGGTCCAGGAGTGGGTGATGGACGGGGAGGCCTGGCGCGCTGCAGTCCACGGGGTCGCAAAAGTCGGGCACGACTGAGCGACCGAACTGGCTGGCGATATGAATCGGCCACAGACATACACGCGTCCCTCCCCGTCCTGAACCCCGCCCCAAACTCCCCTCCCCATCCCACCCCTCCAGGTTGGCACAGAGCAGCAGCTTTGGGTTCCCCGCGTCATACGGCAGACTCCCCCTGGCTCTCTCTTTTCCGTATGGCGCTGTGTATTGTTTTATGCTACTTGTTATTTTTGAGTCTGTTAATGTCTCTGTAATATTTGTGCCCTCTCAAAAAGGTAAACATATTGTTCCTCTTAGGGCCTTGTTCCGAAGGGTTGAGATATGGATCCTCTTTTTTTTTTTTAAAAGTTTATTTGTTTATAGCAATGTCCCGTCTTGGTCGCGGCACTCAGGATCTTTATTGTGGCTCTCAGGCTCGGGATCTGCAGCTCGTGGGCTCCAGAGGGCAAGCTCAGTAGCTGAGGTGTGAGGACTTAGCTGCCTCACAGCATGTGGGGTCTTAGTTCCCCCACCAGGGATCAAACCCGCATGCCTTGCATTGGAAGGTGGATTCTTAACCACCGGAGCCCCAGGGAAATTCCTGGATCCTCTTTGCTAACTCATTATCTGTTCTTTCCAAATAACATCCTCTGGAACACGCATATCATCACCCAGGTAACCAAAGATGCTGTCACACAAGTTGGAGTTGAGGAGTGTGTCCATGGCCTCCAAGCCCCTTATCTCTACAAGTTCAGCATCGGCTATAACGCTGGACTGTTAACCAGCCGTCCGTTTTCGGAGTCAGTTACGTATCCACCAAAGGCTTCCCTGATAGCTCAGCTGGTAAAGAATCTGCCTGCAACGCAGGAGACCCTGGTTCGTTTCCTGGGTCAGGAAGATCCCCCAGAGAAGGGATAGGCTACCCATTCCAGGATTCTTGGGCTCCCCTGGCAGCTCAGCTGGTAAAAAAGAATCTGCCTTCAATGAGGGAAACCAGGGTTGGATCCCTGGGTTGGGAAGATGCCCTGTAGAAGGGAAAGGCTACCCACTCCAGTATTCTGGCCTGGAGAATTCCATGGAGTGTGTAGTCCATGGGGTCGCAAAGAGTCAGACACGACTGAGCGACTTTCTCTTTCATGCACTGTCAGTGGGAATGGAAATTGGTGCAGCCACTAGGAAAAAAATGGTACAGAGGATCCTCAAAAAAAAATGAAAAACAGAACTACTGTGGGATCTAGCAATTCCACTTCTGGGTTTGGATCCACAGACATTGAAATCAGGATTTCAGAGCGATCGCTGCATCCCCGTGGGCCCGGATTCAATCCCTGCTCACGTAACCAGATCGTGCACGCTGCAGCCAGGAGTTTGCTTGCGGAAACGCAAAGATTACATGTGTCTCATCTAAGACCTGGCACAGCCAAATAAATAAATAAACAAATAGGGACTTCCCTCATGGTTCAGTGATTAAGAATCTGCCTCTCAGTGCAGGGGATGCAGGTTTGATCCCCTCTCTGGGAAGATGCCATATGACGAGGAGCAGCTAAGCCATTTGCCAGAACTACTGAGTCCCCATGCCTACTGTTTGCAACAAGAGAAGCCTCTGCAATGTGAAGCCTGAGAAACGCAACTAGAGAGGAATGCCTGCTCGCTGCAACTAGAGAAAACCCAGGTGCAGCCACAGACACCTAGAGAAGCCAGAAATAAATTAACTTTTAAAATGAATAAAATGAAACAAATAAGGTATACACAAGCTGAACAGGTTATATGAATTCTCCTTCACTACCCAAATTCTTGTTAGCCGAATGCTCGCCCTCCAGATTGATGAATAGAGTGGATTCAGAGCTGCTTTGGAAGACAGAAAGACTCTCTCTTTCTGTCCTTCAGAAATGGAGTCTTGTGGGTTTTTAAAATTTTTTCCAGGACCAGTGAACAGTTAAGAGATAAGCCTTGCAAGACAGGAGTGTATCAAATAAAAGAGGACCTCAAGTACAAAAAAAAAGGGGGGAGGGGTTAGAAATGTACCTTGGACAAAAGCAGTCATTTCAGAATATAGCTTCTTAAACTGTCAGAATTTCTGTGGCTGATTCAGGTCGGTGTTTGGTAGAAATCAACACTATAACGTAAAGCAGTCATCCTTCAATTAAAAATAAATAAACATTAAAAAGTAAAGCTGTCAGAATTTATCAAAATCATCAGCGTACAAGCAGTTTACTACATAATACCGAGGTGAGCCAAAGGATTAGCTGTAAAATGTTAGCCTGCAGGTTCTTCACGTGGACGGGTCTGCACTGCACGCCAGCACAGTCTAGTTCGGTAAACCTAACTTTAGCACCAAAGGCCCCTAGTGTCTGTAAAATAAACCAACCCCTGTTGGTTGGCAGACTAGGACAGTATAGTCACACTCCATAAAAGGTGTTTCTGAGATGTAAGGTTCTGGAGACGTGTTACTCTTGATTTTCATGGACGCTCGCAGGAGAGATTCTGCCAGACAGTGTTTCAAGAGATTTCAGCATATGATCGATGTGGGTTTTGGCACAAGCTTTGGTACATCATCGGAAGTGTCCTTTTTTGGACATTTTCCCCTCCTTCATTTTCAAGTCTGTCTTTGGTTTGGGTAAGTAACAAAGGATTGAATTGATGAGGTTTTAACTGTCATCGTCGAGAGGTCCTGTACCTTAAAAGCATCCAATGGGCAAAATTTTCATTCATCTTCCTGCCCTCATCTCTTGTTATTCCTGACGGCGCTGTTGGTACGCTGTCTGCGATTTTGGTTTTACTACCAGCAACTAGGATAACAGAAGCATTTCTGGGAAGGTTTTACTCAGTGAAGAATGCAGTAGCTAGGAAATCCTGTTAACCCCATGAAATTATGGGAATTGGATTTTCTAAAAGAAGTTTGTTATCAGGACCATTGTACCGGGGCTCTTGAAGTGAAAACAAAATATTGATACTGCCTGTGTGACTTTGGACTCAACTGGTGTAGCGTGTGCCTTTGAGGTCTGTTGCTGCCGAGATATGCAAGTAACATATTGTTGTTCAGTCGCTTCAGTCGTGTCCGACTCTCTGCGTCCCCATAGGCGGTAGCCCGCCAGGCTCCTCTGTCCATGGGATTTCCCAGGCAAGAATACCGGAGTGGGCTGACATGGCCTTCTCCTGCAGGTAATGTAAGAAGCCTCTAGAAACGTTAAACTGATCCTGCTTCTGCGGAAAGCAAACTGAGAGTGTTTCATCCTATTTGGATCCATGATGAGTACAAGGTGAGTCAGAACCCACTGAGCATTTTGGTTTCATCTCAGAGGTAAATGGCTAGATTTTTCTTTTTTATCCGCAGATACAAATGGTTCAGATTTTTTAAATGACGTGTCAGAAATCACCCCTGCGGTGTTCCAATGGAGGCATGTAAATGCATGTTAAACTGTATTTTTCTTTTTCTTGTAATTAAAGTAGGCACCTGGGAAAGCATATAAGACTTTATATGATTATGAAACTCTTTTTTTACACTGCAATTAAAAATAGAGCAAAAGCAAAAAAAAAAGCAAGCGTCTTTGACGGAGGCTTCCCATATGTGTGAATTTCATCGAGAACAGAAGCCTTTTAAAACAGGTGTGTTTGTAAAAGCATGTTATCCATTTTTGCAGAAGAAAAAATACTTATAAAATGTTTCTGTTCTAGAGGACAGCCTGGATATTGAGGTGTCCAGAGCTCCAGCCTCCCGGCCGTGAGCCTTTGGTCCTGTTTGAGCCTCTCGCGGTAGACGTGGCTGCCGCAGACTGTTGGCCTTCGTGTTCCGTGGCCCCCACACGCCTTGTGTGTCTAGTTACGGCTCTCAGTTTATAGTTCTCCTGCTTCCTTCTTCTCTTTCACTCTAACATCTGCTGTGTTTTTGCAGCTGATGGAAACTGCAAACCCGTGTGACGTCCCAACGTATTTTTTTTCCCCGCTGTTTATCTGAAATGCGCGTTTAACTCTGAGTCCTAAAGTTTACCTGGCACCTTTATCACACCCTGTTCCAGGAAACCCTAAACATAGGAAGCCTGCTTCCTCGATAGATCCCAAGGGAAATAGCAGGCAGCATAGGACCGTTGGGACTCCCACAAAAGAGTCCCATACCCAGCACAGAGAACAAACACATACGGGTCCTGTGATTTTCTTCCTCTTCTTCTCTTATTACAATTTGGTTTTTTTTTTTTTTTGAGGCAGAGGGCTACAAGTCTTATTTTTTGGCCAAGAGGTGAAGATGACTGAGTAGCTAAGCACGCATGCAGATTTCGTTTCTCCCTCCCCGTCTCTTTCAGCCTCTTCCTTCTTCTCTTAAGTTGTATTACATCCTTGAAGAGAAAGGCTGATCAAGTGCGGAAATCCTTGAGGAAGTCTGGGAGCAGAGATACTTACGAAGTCTGGGAGCAGAGATAACTTACGAAGCCCAGGGCTCTGACTTTTGAAGTTTGGGGTTGCACTTTTATTTTTTTCTGTAGAGAACTCAACAGTCCAAACGCTAGACTAGGATGTTGTTGTTTAGCTGCTTCGCCGTATCTTCTTCTCTGCGACCCCATATATACATTACATAGCCCTCCAGGCTGCTCCTCAGCCACCAGGGAAGCCCAGACCAGGATGCCTGGAATCAAACTCTCAGGCTTTTTCCTGTGTTCCATCAATAACAAGAGACAGCAGCTATCACTTGCTAAAGGACCTCCATCAGACAGAGAAGTTGCTTACTGAAAGTAGGGCAGTTACCAGGAAATACGTGGAGAAGAATAACAGAATCTCTGGGTACCAAATTTGACTTGAAGAAGGTGAACCAATGTAGTGAATGGAGTCTTTCAAAATCCAGGGTTTAATCTCCCGCTTTGAAGTACAGGCCCCAGGACTTCCGTGGTGGTGTAGCGGTTAAGAATCCACCTGCCAATGCAGAGGGCACGTGGGTCCGGAAAGATCCCACGTCCCACAGGGCAGTTAGGCCCGTGCGCCACAGCTATGGAGCCTGTGCCCCGAAACCAGAGAAGTCACCCCAGGGAGAAGCCCACACCCCACAGCTGGAGTGTAGCCCCCGCTCACTGCAACTAGAGGACGCTGGCACGCCGCAGCCAAATCCCAGCACAGCCCAAACCAAACAAACAAAAAGCACGGGCCCCAACTTAGTTCTAAATCTTTAAATGTACTCAGTTTTAAAAGGTGAGCTGAGGTCTATGCGCAGTGTGTGCATAGTAGATGGCATTTATGATTTAATATTTGGATACCTGCTATGAACAGCCGACTCTGGAAAAGACCCCGCTGCTGGGAAAGATTGCAGGCAGGAGGAGAAGGGGACGACAGAGGATGAGATGGTTGCATGGCATCACCGACTCAACGAACGGGAACTTGGGCCAACTCTGGGAGATGGTGAAGAACAGGGAAGCCTGGCGTGCTGCTGTCCACGGGGTCACAAAGAGTCAGACGCGACTTGGCAACTGAACAACAACATATACTATGAAAATGTCTTTTCAACACCAGCCCCCAAAGCACCCTAGAAGACCCTTGCTAAAGTGAAAATTTGAGTCCCAGACAGGTTTAAGACTGGACCAAACGCCAACCAGGATGCATCACGACAGCAGGAAAAGACTTCTAATAATCAGTTTCACTGCCTTACATTTTTTTTTTTTTGACATAAATCCACGGGTTCTTATCACCTCAGTTCAGTTGCTCAGTCATGTCCGACTTTTGGCGACCCCATGCACTGCAGCACGCAAGCTTCCCTATCCCTTGCCAACTCCTGGAGCTTGCTCAAACTTGTGTCCATCGAGTCGGTGATGCCATCCAACCATCTCATCCTCTGTCACCCCCTTCTCCTCCTGCCTCCAATCTTTCCCAGCATCAGGGTCTTTTCCAATGAGTCAGCTCTTCACATCAGGTGGCCAAAGTATTGGAGTTTCAACTTCAGC